GCCCCCGCCGCCCCTTCCCCGCGCCGCCGGGTCCACACTGTGCCTTTGTTCCCGCCGCCCTGTGGGCAGGACGCGCGGTCGGGAGTCCGCAGCCCGGCGGGTCTGAGACGCGCGCGCTCCGGGAGCGAACCGTGAATCCGCTACATTGTTGCCCGTCGCTCGTTTCTAAGCTTTAAAAGCAGCGAGCGAGCGAGCGGAACGCCCGGGCCCCTGCCCCGCGAAGCGCGACTCAGTTACATTCTGTGCGGGGAGGAGAGTCGTCAGGACTCGAACCTGAGCCTCTCTCAACCTTGGAGCACGGGTCATCCTTAAATAAATGCAACGTGCGTTTCTAAGGATAGGTTTTGGATTTTACATTTTATACATTTCTTCTTAAAAGAAGGAAAAAAGACACAACTGAGCCAAGACAACCAACGCTGAGAAAGTTCCCATAGGACAAATGTCTGCAGAAAGTAAATACAAGGTGGCGCAGAAGGAGGTAAAACACAGAGTTTATTCTCGTATTATTGTTGAATTCTCGTCTTATTTTCCATGCAAAAAAAACCAGTCTACTTTTTTGCCCCTCCCTGCATTCGTCTTGTTACTTAGTTGCCCATATATTGGCGGCTTTCCAGTGAAACGTTTGGCGAGCAGAAGTATCTTCCCCGGGCCTGACAGGCTCCCTTCATTCATTTAACCCGGTGAACCCCAAGCTCGGGGGAATCCTTGGATCCTTCTTCACATTCATAGGACCTCAGGATTGAAATGTGACACAATGTAAAGTGCTGGGCTGTGGACGATACACTGTTTCTGTACTTACATGGTGTCCCTCTCTTATTTATTCTTTGGGTCGTGCCACTTTCTTTGGCACTTGCGATTAACGTCAAAAATAGCTCAGCACCCACCTTCCCGCAGACACCCTCCCTAAGAGGTCACCCACGTCTAAAATTATTCCCTATGCAGCGATACAGGATTCCAGCCGTGGCCACGGGGAAAAGGACAGAACACACAGCCATGAATTACAGGGTCAAAAAACCGTCCACGTGGGTTTTTAAGTAAGACCGTAAGCCACAAATCCCGACTAGTCACCGGATCCCCCAAATTCAGCAACGCCCCTGTAGTTCGCCACGGTTTCCATACATCTGACCAGGCGCAGACGTTGCGTCTTGTGACATATTGCGTGATTTCAGTGTTCTAACCTGCTTTCAGCTTCTCCATATTTCTTCTTCTAGGCTAACACCCAATGAAAAGTGCATAAATGTGGGGTGGGGATTAACATTTTGAGGATGCTAAATTGGCTTGGCCTCTTCAGTTCCCCGGTTTCTAGCTGCCCCTCAGTTCTGGGGTCAACGGCCTCACCTGCCTCACCTGCAGACCCAGAGGCAGGGTTGTTTTTTTTTTTTTGTTATAAGGAGAGGATACCCATTTTCCCATAAAGGCTGAGCCTGAAGGTTTAGAGCGCCCAGGACAAAGAATAGGACATAGGTGAAGTCCTCCCAGGAAAAGCAGAGGAATGCCAGGCCCGGGGAGGGTGAGAGGGCAAGAAGGAAACTGGGGACCTAGAACAGGGGCCGGGGGCCCCCAGGAGCCTTCACACTGGGGCAAGGCAAGTGGAGCCTGGGGAGAGGGGGCAACTCCAGCGCACCTGGATGGTCCAGTTAAGGCAGATCTCCTGCTGAGGGTTGCAAAGAGTCCCAGCAAGGGCCTCTGAAAAGGCCAGGATCAGGAGGCAGAGCTGTCCTGGGTGGGGATAGCATAGCCTGGAACCAAGGAACAAACAGAGGCCCAAAGGAGTCGATAAACCCAGTATGGAGACTGGCCCCACCAGCCCCTGCACAGCCAGTACTGCCCAGGATCCGGGAAGGATGCCCCACTCCCCACCCTGCCCCAATGCACAGGGTCCTGGAAGGATGCCCCACTCCCCACCCTGCCCCAATGCACAGGGTCCTGGAAGGATGCCCCACTCCCCACCCTGCCCCAATGCACAGGGTCCTGGAAGGATGCCCCACTCCCCACCCTGCCCCAATGCACAGGGTCCTGGAAGGATGCCCCACTCCCCACCCTGCCCCAATGCACAGGGTCCTGGAAGGATGCCCCACTCCCCACCCTGCCCCAATGCACAGGGTCCTGGAAGGATGCCCCACTCCCCACCCTGCCCCAATGCACAGGGTCCTGGAAGGATGCCCCACTCCCCACCCTGCCCCAATGCACAGGGTCCTGGAAGGATGCCCCACTCCCCACCCTGCCCCAATGCACAGGGTCCTGGAAGGATGCCCCACTCCCCACCCTGCCCCAATGCACAGGGTCCTGGAAGGATGCCCCACTCCCCACCCTGCCCCAATGCACAGGGTCCTGGAAGGATGCCCCACTCCCCACCCTGCCCCAATGCACAGGGTCCTGGAAGGATGCCCCACTCCCCACCCTGCCCCAATGCACAGGGTCCTGGAAGGATGCCCCACTCCCCACCCTGCCCCAATGCACAGGGTCCTGGAAGGATGCCCCACTCCCCACCCTGCCCCAATGCACAGGGTCCTGGAAGGATGCCCCACTCCCCACCCTGCCCCAATGCACAGGGTCCTGGAAGGATGCCCCACTCCCCACCCTGCCCCAATGCACAGGGTCCTGGAAGGATGCCCCACTCCCCACCCTGCCCCAATGCACAGGGTCCTGGAAGGATGCCCCACTCCCCACCCTGCCCCAATGCACAGGGTCCTGGGCTGGATCAGGGGCTCAGAGCCTGGCTTCCCGCCTGCCTGCCACGCTGAGGACGTCCCATCAGGACAAGCTGCGTCCCCACTCAGATGCATTTCCTCATTTCCGATTGGGTGTTTCCACTACATCACGTTCAAAGTTCCTCCTCCGTGACTCCAGGCTGACGTTGAGACACTGCTTCAAAAACACATCATCTGACTTCCCGTCCGTGTTCGTGCCTGCGCGTCTCCAGGACGTGTCATTGAAACGCATCTCTAGCGACATTACTGAGCATCCCCTCACCAGCCGCAATCTGTGGCTGCTACCCTGGGCGCCCGTTACAGGTCTGGCCTTTCATATAATATGCAGCAGTTTCTTGGACGCCCTTAGTAAATGCCTCAATTGTTTGCTGGCGGCAAACAGGGAACAAACCCACAGAGTTCCCTGTAAGGGCTTCTTTGAAGATGATGCTCCCAGATTCCCACCTCAAATGGAGGGGGGTGG